GAGAGGATTAAGTTCCTAGTGATTGCATTAAAGGACTCTATTGAAATTTATGCATGGGCTCCCAAACCATATCACAAATTTATGGCATTTAAGGTGGGTCTTCACTTTTCCATTAATGATTGATAATAAAGATTTAATGTGTATTCCTTGTTAGAATTTTGGTGAATTGGAACATCGCCCGCTTTTGGTCGATCTCACCATTGAGGATCAGTCGAGACTGAAGGTGATCTATGGCTCCGCCGAGGGTTTCCATGCGGTTGATTTAGATTCAGCTGAAGTATACGATATATATCTTCCCAAGCATGTAAGTTGGCGTGTTAAAAATGTCGAAATTGATTGCTAAATAATTATTACTCCTGCAGACTCAGGGTGCAATCATTCCACACTGTATTGTGGCGCTTCCGAACTCAAATGGCATGCAATTGCTGCTGTGCTACGACAATGAGGGCGTCTATGTGAACACTGTGGGCCGGGTGTCCAAGAACATTGTGCTGCAGGCAAGTCATCATCACTTGGGAAATCCAGCTATGTTATTATTTTCCCTGGTATTAATCTTTAAATTACCTTTTTAGTGGGGCGAGATGCCCACCTCGGTGGCCTACATTGGGACTGGACAAATCATGGGCTGGGGCAATAAAGCAATAGAGGTGAGGAAACCATAAAGTACTTTGGCGTTCTAATTATTAATTTTAATGGATTTTTCCCCCTTTTTCAGATACGTTCCGTTGAGAGCGGCCATTTGGATGGTGTGTTCATGCACAAAAAGGCGCAGCGCTTGAAATTCCTTTGCGAGCGCAACGACAAAGTATTCTTCAGCAGTGCCAAAGGTGCTTCTTCGTGTCAAATCTACTTTATGACGCTCAACAAGCCGGGCATGGCCAATTGGTAATTGGTAATCCAAACCGACGATCGATGATCTTGGCAGGCAGCCTTCGATCGACGCCCCAGCGATCGATTTGCTCAACCGGCAAAAAAAAAACAAAACAACCCATAAACATGTTCTTCTTATTTTACCACAAAAGCAAAACGAAAAAGAAAGTATCTAAAGCGAACACATAAAAGATAATTAGCTGATTTAAGTGAAGAGTGCATAACGATTAAGTGAGATATCCTAAACAGACACACCAACAAAAACAACACTCAACAACACACCAACAACCCGAGATCATGAACTAGTGCTTATGAAATTCACCACGACAACGTTTCAATTAGTAAATGTGCTAAGGAAAACTCGATCAACACGAGCCTATATATATAAATAATCTACTTAATATTTAGAGACGAACATTTCAAGCTCACTCGTCGAGGTTTTTTGTCAGATCTGGTCAGAAAACAACCGCAATTAAAGCAATTCGTATCCTCCATCCTTTCGATGTATGTATATTGACGTTACATAAATGAACACCCAGCCAGCACACGATTCAGATCCATTTCAAATGTCGTTTCACAATTGTGTTTAATTTCGCTTACAAGTTAAACTTAAGTTGAAAACCAGCAGCGCAGCAAAAGCAACAAAAAATATATCGAATTTTCTACACAAAGCAGAAGAACGTCGTATATATATATATAGAAGAAAATATATGCAGTTAGTTTTTGTTCTTGATATTATCAAATAGAATTTATTTGTGCGTTTCCGACGATTACATGTTAGTGGAGAGAGCAAAGAAAATTTATACATAAATTATTGTCTGCGCGCTCATTTTATGGATATGAAAAAAATGGAAATCGAAGCGAAGCAAAGCAAACAAAACCCACATAAAACGCCATTGTAAAAACTAAGTGATAAACAAGTAAATAATTGATTAATGTAAAATAAAGCCGAAAGCAACACAAACCCAAGCAAGCTTGCTACAATTGAGGATATCTAATGGAAACTTAGAAACGCACCATGACGTTTGCGAGGAGAGCTACCTTAATAACGAGATTGGAGGGAATTACAAACGAGAACCTAGTTAAGCTGCATTTTTTACTGAACTTTTATACAGAGCCAAGAGAATGAAGAGAAAACATAAAAACGGATGAACGAATCGAGGAGGGAAATTAAACCAAAATTCTATAAATCGTAGCATGTTAAAATTGATAACCATTTAAAGAACCATCTCCGCTTGTTGTACTGTGTGCATTTTCTTTGTGTTTTTACTAGCTTCAATATCAAAAGTGGTCACGTTGCAATATCTCTATATCGAATGCATATAGAACCTTTTCCCCAACTGGCGCACACCGAATCCCCAATGGAACACTATTTCTGCCTTATTTTGTGTTGTTTGCGTGATTTCGCCCCACTCCTCTTCCACACACCACACCCTCCACACAAAAAAATGTCTCATTAAGAAGTATATTTAAAATATTGTTTGTTTTTGTGTTATAAAATGATTGTACGCCCCGTATTAAATAATGTTCATCGAAGCAAAATGGAAAAGAAAAGTGCACTAACATGCACGTCTAAAACAACAAAAAAATAAAAGAATTAGTAATAAATGCTTACTTTATTTCTAAAATAAAACAAGTAAAATGATACAGAAATGAATGTAAATCTAATTATTATATATATATAATCTCAAAATTAAAAAAAAAATATTAAAAAAATTATTGAGTCGTATTTTTAAAGGCGTTGGGACTTTAAGTTTGTTTTTTAGGACACATTTTGTTACACATTTTTTTTATTTGGAAAGTGCAGATAAATAAAGAATAAATCAATATAAATTAAACTGGACAACCTTTCTAGATAGTTTTAAACTAAGCCTGATATCAAGGCTAATTACAAAAACTAAAATTACAATTTTGAAAATTAATCAAAAAGTTTGTGGAGTTGATTACACCAGAAAACCAATCACAAACTTTGAAATGTAATGGTTTGTATATATATAAATTTATGGACTTAGCATTGTCTTGACAAATTTTAAATTTAAATTTTAAATTTTAAAACTCGCTCAATGCTGAAAATTTCTGTGCAGTCGTTTAGGGAAATCCCCTTATTGTTTTTCTAACAGAAATGTAAATGATATTTTAACAGAGAGCCAAGTGGTGTGCGTTCTCCAAGAAAAACACCGCGAAAATTCAATCTCCAGAAAACATCGATAAAAACAGAAGTTGATACTTGCAAAGTAGTTTTGGCGGAAAACATCGGAGCTTAAAAAAAAAGTTTTCAGAACATTAGTGTTCTCCAACTCTAAGGGATTTGTAGTTGTGATTGAATCAAGTAAAACAAGAAAGGAAAGCTAACTTCGGGCGGAGCCGAAGTTGATATACCCTTGCAGAATACTCTGTAAATTATATTCTCCAAAATTATTCATATGATGCATTCTTAATACTCATAAAAAATCCCAACTTCCTAACTTAACAAACACCAAAGTTATTCCGATCAATCAGTTATATGGCGGCTATAGGATATAGTCGGCTGATCCTTATGAAATTTGGTAGGTCGGATTTATTGGCCATATATAAAACCCATAGAAAATCCCAACTTCCTAACTTAACAAACACCAAAGTTATGACATTTCCGATCAATCAGTTATATGGCAGCTATAGGATATAGTCGGCCGATCCTTATGAAATTTGGTAGGTCGGATTTATTGGCCAAATGTAAAACCCATAGAAAATTCCAACTAACTTTACAAACACCAAAGTTATGGCATTTCCGATCAATCAGTTATATGGCAGCTATAGGATATAGTCGGCCGATCCCGGCCGTTCCGACATATATACTGCGTGCAAAGGAAAGAAGGGTGTGTGCAAAGTTTGAACTCGATAGCTTTAAAACTGAGAGACTAGTTTGCGTAGAAACAGACAGACGGACAGACAGACGGACAGACAGACGGACAGACAGACGGACAGACGGACAGACGGACAGACGGACAGACGGACAGACGGACATGGCTATATCAACTCAGGAGGTGATCCTGATCAAGAATATATATACTTTATAGGGTCGGAGATGTCTCCTTCACTGCGTTGCACACTTTTGACCAAAATTATAATACCCTCTGCAAGGGTATAAATATAACAAGAAAGGAAAGCTAACTTCGGGCGGAGCCGAAGTTGATATACCCTTGCATATTACTCTGTAAATTATATTCTTCAAAATTATTCATAAGATGCATTCTTAATACTCATAAAAAATCCCAACTTCCTAACTTTACAAACACCAAAGTTATGGCATTTTCAATCGTTCAGTTATATGGCAGCTATAGGATATAGTCGGCCGATCCTTATGAAATTTGATAGGTCGGATTGATTGTCCAAAAATAAAACCTATAGAAAATCTCAACTTCCTAACTTTACAAGCATCAAAGTTATGGCATTTCCGATCAATCAGTTATATGGCAGCTATAGGATATAGTCGTCCGATCCCTGCCGTTCCGACTTATATAATGCGTGCAAAGGAAAGAAGGATGTGTGCAAAGTTTCAATTCGATATCTTTAAAACTGAGAGACTAGTTCGCGTAGAAACAGACAGACGGAAAGACGGACATGCTTATATCAACTCAGGAGGTGATCCTGATCAAGAATATATATACTTTATAGGGTCGGAGATGTCTCCTTCACTGCGTTGCACACTTTTGACCAAAATTATAATACCCTCTGCAAGGGTATAATAAAAGTTTCCTTATTAATTTCACCAAGAGCGTTCGAGAAGTAAAATTTAAATAAATGTATGATTTTTTTTAATTTCCTTAATTTTTATTAAGCAAACATTTTTTACAGTGCTATGATCAAAGTGCATTTTGTATAGAGAAAATAGTGTGTAATAACTGGAGTGGAAACTAACAGAGTGTATAAGATCTGGAGTGAAATCGTTAACAGTGGAGTGTTAACATTGAGCAATACCTGGAGTGAAAAGTTAACAGTCTGGAAGAACGGAGTGAGATTCATTATAGTGATGGAAAAACCGATTGTGCCCGGCCAAACATCGATATCATCGATATTTTGAAAACATCGATGACAATGATGATGGCATCGATGTTTCTCCACCTCTAACACATATGTATGTATATAAATCAAAGGCAAAAACAAAATCCGAATCCGAACGAGTCGGACGCGTTTTCGTCGCGAGTTTTTCCGCTGCCAAATCGAACATAAACAATAAGTGTAAATTGCCGCGTACATTCAATTTCTATGAGATCAAGTCAAGTGAATTTTTTAATTTAACGAATCGCGTTGGTCGAGCTTTGCAAGAACCTCGGGTGTCACCGTGATTATTAAAAAAAGGATTTGTGTATACCGAAAAGGCTAAACAACTGGCTTTTTTTAAAGGTAAATCCCTGGAAAAGTGATAAAAAGAGTTTGCCAAATAGAGTGCCGGAAAAAGGTACAAAACACAGTGCAAACGCAAAAAAAGGACGCCGACTATGCGTATATGAGGTCCTTGTGTATGTGTGAAAAAATCCTGGTCAACGCCACTCCTTTTGCGCAAAGAAATTTAATAAAAAAAAAAAACGTAGAAGCTGTATATAGAGAGCTAAACGAAGCTGCGCCGGAGTTGAAAAATATGAAAATAAATAAGGGGTGTGGGTGTACCTCTTAAACCAGCGACTTATCAAATATTTTGACAGAAGATCCTCATTAATTTAAGCAGTTTTTGGTGCAAACACAACTGTAAAAATGAAATTGCATTTGGAGTAGCGGCATTTTTAAGGGTGTGTAAGTGAGTTCAAGTCCTGCCATCCTGCTCGCACCCTCTGCGCAGAATCAGGACAGTATCAAAAAAGCCCCGTAAAATGAACATTGCAATTGCAAAAATGCAAAAATACAAAAATACGAAAATTCGAAAATACATTTTGCCAACAGCTGGCGGAGTTTTAAACACCTGGCGAAAAAGCCAACATGAGACACCTTAAACAGTTAAATGGTTCTCCTTTTTATGGCTTTTAATAACTGGTTTTTGCAGAGCCTTTTCGTGTAGGTGCGAGTGAGCAGGAAGCATGCCCCAACCCAAAGAACCGTTGATCGCAAAATGCAACTGCGATCTGGTGAGAAACAGAGAGAGGGAGAGATGGGGTAAAAAAAAAACAAAACAAAAGCAAACGACTTTTGTTTTTCTTTTGTTGTCTTAGGTTCTGTTTGTGTGTGTGGGTCTCTGATAATTTTGCTATCGCTGTTTTTTGCCTTATTTATCGCATTTCTTCATTTTGCAATTCTCTTAGTGGCCGTAATTTATGCAAATATGCAGAAATCACAATTCTATTTGCACTATTTCCTCAATAAAAAATCGCTGGCGAAGCCAAGAATATTATATTGTTGTTAATTTCTGTTCTTTGTGGGTAAAATTTCACCCTCTTTTGTGCGTCGCGTGCTCCGCGCTTCTTATTCTCATTTGTTTATTTTTAGTTACGGAATTTCTGGTTACAAACCGTATTTAATTTCAACGACTTCCCTCTGTTTTGCTCCTTTTCCTCCTGCCCCTCTTTCTTTGCCTCCTTCTTCTTTTTCTTCTCCTCTTTGTCTTGCAGAAACAGTTGCGCTTCATGTCATTCCCCACACGGAAAGAAATCCTACGATATTTTAAGCTCAAAATATTTAAACTCCGTTTTTGTACTCCATATTAACGTTTCATGTCACTTCTTAACTAAATGACAAATTACTAAGAGATATTGTTTATAAGAAATAAACTTGATAAAATATAATACTTTAATTGTTAAAGGTTAATATATGATAAAAATTTGTTCCTGTGCACTGAAAAAGGAGAGCTGCAAAAGAAACAATAAGTGGGAGTTAGGGGAGAAAAAGAAAACAAGAAGGAGGGCCTGCCTTTGTTTTATGACTTCTGCGGATGTTTATTTTTAGTTGCATCGCTTAAATGTTTCAATTTTTATTTCCACCCAATCCATCGTCAATTTGTCGGCGACTTAAAAACTCATAAAACGAATCGTCATAAAACTTTCGCCTACGCTCGGCGCGATTTGCATAAACTTAATTAGTCAAATGCAGGCACAAAAGTTATTCAACAAATTATTCTTAATTAAAGAAACAGCCAAAGTTGTATAGCTCTTGACAGATTGAACATTCAAAAGCGTTAATTTTCATGCAAATCTGGGTATTATGCTAATCGCTTAAGCGTCCAAAATTTCGACTTTGCGCCTTGAATTTATAGTTTCAAATTTTCGGCATTTATGAACATTTTTGCAGCAGATAAAATGTATTTAAAAATGTATCTAGCTGTTCAACAAATTGTTCTTAACTAAATCCATCTACGGACCTATTTGCTTAAAAGCTATAATTTTCATGCAAATCTTAAATTTATGCAAATAGCTTTAAATGCCCAAAACCAAAACTTGGATTTATTATTTCAAATTGTCGCATTTTGTTTATGGAAAAATTGTTGGTGTACCAAATCCTAATCTGCCTTCGGTTAACTTTTAAAGTTATACATAAATATTTGAATCTATTCGTCAGATGTAATCGGGTAACTTTTTAAACGAATCTTCAAATGACCAAATTTAAGTGCCTTTGATTTATTGCTTCACATTTTTTATGCTATTTATATTACTTCTGAAACTTGTCCAAACAATTTTCGAAGAAATCTACATCGCAGATCTCTGCAAATTAAATTAATCAAATGCAGATACAACAGAAAAGTTATTCAACAGATTATTCTTAATTAAAAAAGCAACCAGAGGGTTTTTTTATGTAAATCTAAAATTTATGTTATTCACTATAGTTGTTTTACATTTTTCGCATTTATGGAAAACTTTTGCAATGCTGAGACAAGCAAAAAACTCAACTATTTCGAACGAAATCGAGATCACCGATCTCTCCAAGCTCTTGAGTGTTATTTTTTCCCCGTTTGTTTTTGTATGTTTTTTCGGTGGCCCACGCGCAGCTGGCAAAATCAAGTTTAGACCTTCCCCGTACCCCTTTGGCTATATATTCCCCCTGGCTTTATCTCTTGCGTCACTTGATTTGGCGCAAGTTTAGCACACGACTCTTTTTGGCTCCCATTTTTCGGCCCATATGATCTTGGATCTCTGGCATTTTCGTTTGAATTTTCAATGAAAACACATAGACATGAACGAAAATGGCAATAGCTATAGGTTTATATATCTGTAGTGATATTAACAGTTGCCGCAAAATGTCGCATTTGTTTATTCATAAGTATTTTTTTTGGGGCTGCCGTTTGGCTATCCACCATATAAGGCATCGAAATTGTGTGCGAGTTTGGGTCTTGGATTTTCGGTTGATCAATGATCATGATATGTTCATGGCTTGGGGCCATTTGGTTTTTATTGTCTGAAGAAAAGCGATATTAGCTAAGCCTAATGCGACCATTTGAGGTTTGGTTTTTATTTTATCTTTACAGGGTTCAGTGAACTTAGATTGCAGTTTATTTTGTCGGTCCAATTTGGCGGGCGAAATATTGCTTTGTGGGATTTATTTTCTAGGCTTTAACTATTTTAAAATAAAAATAAAATAGTTCAAAAAATCTTTAAAAATGATTAAACTTTGCTTGGTTGAATTGAGAACTACTCTCTAGATCTCTTAAATACTTAGAGAACTTTGTTGAAAATTTAAGTATTCAGGCTTGTAAAAGAAAATACAATTTTTTTAATGATTATGCCAGATTGCATTTGAGTAATTGATAGTTGGCCACAGCTGCAGTGGTCCAATAGCCCGAGAATCCCCCTATTCCCGCCCAAAATTCAACCCACTCCTCGGTAATGGCCATGCATCCACTTGCGGACCACTTTGTCCACTTGTTCGGACAGCAAACCGAAAAAAACCCTGTGGAACCACTTGAAATGTTTTTTTGTAACCCACGGCGAAACAAAACCGAAATACAAAACCCAAGAGGGGAAAAAACATGCGGCGGGCGAAGCTTTCAAATCACATAACATACATATAACACCAAAAATGGGTGGGTTGCCCCACTTGAGGCACTCCCCCTCCAGATGCCGCCTCCTTATCCTCCGATCGATATACATAATGAGCCTGCAGGCGATGTCGTTGGGCATTATTAACATACATTTGGTATGGACATCCCATCGAGTGTCTGTCTATCGAGGTTTTAACCCTCTTTACAACCCCTTGTATTGTATAACAAAAATTACTTAAGGTTTTGTATGAAAAACACTTAGAAATAGATGTGGTCTAAGTCTCCAGGCGATTGCTTTACAAAGTGTAATATACCATAGACTAGTAAATATTTTATATTTATTGTTGTAGGAAAATGCTGGTTTTAGAATTTTTTTTTTAAACTCATTTTTATAAGTAACCCATTGCTAACAAACTAGTTAGTTAGAACCAACAAAAACAAAAGCAAGTTTAGTTGGGATTTATGATGCAAAAAATAATAAATTTGAATGCAAAAATAATATTATCACATTAACTAGCAGTTTTCTAAATTAACAAGTTTTTAAACCAATTACAAAAACATTACTGTAACTTTCCTTCTTCGCCACGTTGTATCAGGCTTTAATTATGCAATTTAGCAACCTTCTGCGGTTGCAGTTGCAACTGACGCGAAATTGAATTGAATGAGCTTGGAAAAAGAGCTGAGATAAAGCTCCCAAGAATGAGATTCCAAAGTTGCATGACTGGTCCGGTCCCTGCACCTTAGTTAACAATGTAAATTGCACCATCTATCGCCACCTTCAAGGTTTATTCTCAGCCCTCCGCCAACCCACACCCTTTTCAAAAACACGCAAAGTAAAAACGAGATAATGCTGTTTATAACTTTATGGATTTACATTCCGTCCGTCCGACTGCCTAATTAATTGCCAGCTAATTTGGGACACCCCCCCTCCCCCACCACCTATTTATTCCTGCCGACCAAACCCTATTTCCAGTTGACCCCATTTTCCAGGACTTGACCACAAAAATTAGGCCCAATTTGGTAAATGAACCGTGTTAAAAATAAACATTTCCCCTGTCAATTTTCGCTGGCTTTTCTGGGCAACATTTATTGGCTTCATTTGCTTATGTGGGGATGGCATTAGAATGGGTTTGTTGGGGGAGTGGTTTCAGTCCGAGAGTTTTAGGGAGGTGTTTTTGTTTTATTGAATTTTGTTCCTTTGCTCTGGTGAGTTATTTATAAAACAAAAAAGTGATGGCCACAAAGTTCTTGACAATTTACCAGATAAGCGAGGCTGGCAGGGGAAATTGTTTGATGAACTGCAGGAAGTGGAAGAAGTGGAGGCGGGAGGAAAATTTAGAGAAAGCATTGCCTGCATAATGACAAAAGTTTTTGCAACCGCCGCCTCACTTTTCCTCCAGTTCGCATTGAAAACTGAAAAACCGCTGGGGAAGCTTTTTTCGCT